TCCGGAGGCCGACGTCTACCATGCCACGCGCGTACCACCAGGACGTACGGCGGTGGCAGCCTTGGCGCATGGGAGACACAAGGCAGGCCAACGCCAGCGGCAGCCGGCACGGAGACGAGCCCGGTGTACAGTACGTGTCGATCCTGGCGTGGACCGCTACACCCCGCCGGAGACCGCCGGACCGAGGGCACTCCCTGTTCAGTCGTGGCTGACGCGGCTGCGTCCTAGCAGTACGTCTTCGATCGTGATCGTGTGTCAATGCACACACACGCGCGCGTACTACCTTGTGCCCGTCCGCTGTACTAGCGTATAGGGTATCCAGCAGGTCGAGGCGTGTACGGAGTACTCACACAATACGTACTCTACTCCAATACTTCTACAGTACAGTACGTCTTTAGTCTCGAAAGTCTAAACCGCGTACGGACCGGACCAATGGATGGAGATGGATGGATCATAATGAGATTCCTGTGAAGAGCTGAGCTCGCTCTTGCCGCTGTGACCGATAAAAAGTCGCTTTTTCACCTTACTTCCCATCGTCCCAGTACTCCTCCCAGGCCAGGATCAACATGAGGAATCATGCGCATCATCGCTGTACGTGGTGGCTGGCCTGGCCTTGACGTGCCTTACGCCCAGATTCACAAGTCCTCGACCGGGCGACGCGATGTGGCGGTGGCGTGGCGGTGGCGTGGCGTGGCGCGTGGCAGCACGCGTAGGCACGCCGTACGCGCGCGCGCTGCTCTCTCCCCGCCTGCCGCTGCGTCAAGCTGAGTGCGGGCTTGGCCTGGCCTGGCCTAGATGCCATTACCGAAGCCCAACCGCCATGCTCCGTTGACCTGGTCAATGATCCGCGCTTAGACCCCATGCGCGCGCAGCAGTTGTTCCGGCCACATCGACATCATGTTGGCGTCAGATGGCGGCGACCCACACGTCGTGAACCTACACCGCCACGTCATCGCATCTCTACCACCTGCGTCGATGACCTCGACCATTGACCAAGACCATACATGCTGCGCCACCGTCGCTGCTGACTCAATACAACATGATTTCGCCGCACCATACGAATACGGACGGGCAAAAGTGTTAGTTTTGAAAAAAAAAAACAGTGTTATATTTGAAAATAATTTAAAAAAATGTTAAAAATAAAAAAGTGACTGACTAGCCACTTGGTGTAGTCCGTACTGGGAGTGTTACAATTTTGGCTGCAATTGCCAATAGGTTCTTTGGCCAACTATCATGTGGTTGTAGTGCTATCATTTCCAAGAAAACTAGGGATACTAGCTTACAGCGTGTGAGTTTTGCTAAACCTTCACGCGAAGAAAACCTACACGTACGTGACATGGTTTAGTTCCAAGTTCCAACCGCTTCGGGTTCACCGTACACGAGACACTTTCTAGTTTTTTGTTTGAAGGAACACTTAGTTTTTACCCTAACGAGTCGTTAAACTTGGATGAAACATGAACGGATACGTCATACGTGCTCGGTACTCCGCATCCACCAACTCCGAGGGCGCGTTACGCCGCGCGTGACGATGACACCAAACGGCCACGGGTTCGTTGAGAATGCGGCGCTGAGCCCGCCCCACCCACGCACGGACGCCGTGCCGGACTGCCGGTGCCGGTGCGAATCCCTCAATCCACGGGGCGGCGATCGTCTGAATGTCTGATGGCGACCAATTCCCTCCGCACGACATCGCGCGTGCTGGTGGAGATAACATGAAGGACGACCGGTGAGCTAGTCCACCCGGAAAGCCCGCGGCTTTTACCTGACCCACCCGGCCTCGGCGTCGCGCTCGGGACGGGACGGGCGGCGTGGTTGACGCGGCCGCGTCCTCGTTTTCGTAGGTGGGGGTTGTCTGCCGTGCGATGCGACGGTGTTGTCGCTTTCGCTTTCGGTGCACCCCTTTTGCCGGGTTCCGTGGACGCATCACGCAACAGCCGCGCCCGTTTTGCCCGCCGCGCAACGAGGGAGGAGGGATGGAGCCGGAGCTCAGGATCGTCCGGAAAACGGAACCAAAAGTCTGGTTTTCGCGGCCAGGGAGACTGGCCACGACGATCCAGGGTGAATTAGGCTCATCGAGCCAGATGAGAAAAATATGGATCGGTTAATTGGACGACCGAGGGTACTGCTGTCCTAGCTTAGGCAAAGTTGTCATGCCGCCGTGACAAGGGCCCTGTTCGTTTGTCTTATAATTTGTGCCCTCCCTTTTCTGTTTGCGCTGCGTTTTTCATCGTGACCGTGTGAACAATGTTTTCTCTCACAATAAATCAATACTCATACAGTACTGTACGTCTTTGGTCTCGAAAGTCTAAACCGCGTACGGAAATGGATGGATATTTGATTTGTTTTTTTGACCGATAAAAGTCGCTTTTTTCACCTTACTTCCCATCGTCCCGGTACCAGGCCAGGATCAACATGAGGAATCATGTGCATCATCGTAACTATGGCCTTGACACCATTTAATTGACAATTGGAACGCGGGGTGTGGCGGTGGCGTGGCGTGGCGCGTCGCGTTTGGTACACGCTCCCGCCATACCCTCACCACTAACCTTTCACCTCCACGGCAAGAGCAACCAACACAAACAACCACAAAAAGACCAGCAGCCACGAACATGAAACATTGTAATTCATAGCAACATCCACAAGTAGAATATTCACATAAATAGTTGGTTTTTTCAATACGAACTGAAAGTAGTTTTAGGCCTTTCACAAACCATTTTTATCCCTGTTTTGCAAGAGTCGCTTTGCAAGATACATGTGTTCCCCACATGGTTTAGTTCCAAAGCAACCGCTTCGGGTTCACGACAAGATATATCAGTTTTTACCCTAAAAAAGATTCTGAACGGATACGTCATACGTGCTCGGTACCGCATCCACCCACTCCGAGGACGCGTTACGCCGCGCGTGATGATGACACCAAACGGCCACGGGTTCGTTGAGAATGCGGCGCTGAGCCCGCCCCCGCCCCACCCACGCACGGACTGCCGGTGCCGGTGCGAATCCCTCAATCCACGGGGCGGCGACCGTCTGAATGTCTGATGGCGACCAACTCCGCACGACATCGCGCGTGCTGGTCGATAACATGAAGGACGAGAGAAAGGCGGCTGTGTCACCACCAATTCGGCGTCGCACCAGGAAACCATGTGGTTGACGCGGCGCGTCCTCACGTATGGGGGTTGTCCCGTGCGATGCGACGGTGTGGCTTTCGCTTTCACTGCACCCTTTTGCCGGGCCGTTTTCACGCAACAGCCGCGCCCGTTTTGCCCGCCGCGCAACGAGGGAGGAGGATGGAGCCGGAGCTCAGGATCGTCCGGAAAACGGAACCAAACTCTGGTTTCCGCGGCCAGGGAGATTTGGCCACGACGTAAACCGCTTGGCAAAACTGCGTCCCTTAGCAAAAGGCCAAAGCGTCCTGTGGCTTCAGATAAGAAAAATGTGGATCGGTTAATTGGACGACCGAGGGTACTGCTGTCCTAGCTTAGCAAGTTTCGTGCCGCCGTGAGGAGGAGAGCGGGAGAAGCCACTATTTTTGTTTTTTTCCTTGGAACCACCCCAAAAGCTCTGTGTTTTGGTTTGTTTTTCTAGCGAAATGAACGGTTTTAATTGACAATTTGAACAAAATCGGTGGACACTCCTCCCCTTTAACCTTTCACCTCCCGGCAAGAGCAACCAACACAAACGGCCCAAAAAGACCAGCAGCGAACATGAAACATTGTAATTCATAGCAACATCCACAAGTAGAATATTCACCTTTTTCAATACGAACTGAAAGTAGTTTTAGGCCTTTCACAAAGTTTTAAGTGTTTTGCAAGGCTTTGCAAGATACATATGTTCCCCACCTGGAGAAGCATATGTTCACGCTCAAGATATGCAAGAAAAAAAGATGTCCGCGCATACTGCCCACGTGTCAGGTCCCATGCGGTTGTTTCAAACGTATTTTCAAGTGTTTCATTTGTTGATGTTCCATTTGTTGCTATGGCTACACATGTTTCAAGTGTATATTTCAGATGGTTTTCAGATTTATGTTGCATGTGTTTCATCTGGATGTTGTAAAAGTAGATCTGGATATTGCATATGTTGCTATGGCTATACACGCATGTTTTAAGAGCATGTTTCATCTGTTTTTACACGTATGTTGCAAGTGTTTCATCTGGATGTTGCAAAAGTGGATCTAGATGTTGCATATGTTGCTATGGCTATACACGCATATTTCAAGAGCATGTTTCAAGTATTTCATCTGTTTTTCAGACGTATGTTGCAAGTGTTTTATCTGGATGTTGCATATGTTGTAAATGGCTATGTTGCAGCTGTATGTTGCGAATGTTTCATCTGTTTTAGGTGTATGTTGCAATTATTTCATTTGAGTATTGCAAAAGTAGATAGTAGGTGTGGAGGAAGTCTAAGCCCTCGGTGGTTCAGCTAATGCGGCTCCTGGTGTGGCGCAAATGGAGGCCGCGGACACCAGAGCGGCGGGGACAGGATGCCGCGGCAGATCGCCAGGGATGTGGCGCGGGATGGGCGCGAGCACTGCGTATCAGGCGGGTTGGGACGTGGGCCTCCATGTTGCATGCGTTGGACGTAGGCGCGGGAAGCTCCATCCGAACAAACTGCCTCCGGAGCGGGGATGGGTGCGGGGCGTGCGCTAGGTGCGGTCCTGGGCGTGCGTCGGGGCGCTGGTCGAATGCTGAATCAACGAAATGTCGTCCCTTGAGGCTTCAGTGCCCCACAAGAATCTCATCCGCATTATTCCTGACCGCAGCGCGGGTCACAAATATCAGCCCACGGCGCTCGTAGGCGCTGCCGTTGCCGTCTCATTCTCTCGACGAAAGCCAAAAAAAAAAAAACAAGCCAACTTCACATAAACGCGCACGGACACGCCCAGGGCCCACTCTATCTCCGCCACGCTACTGACGTCTCACGGCTAGGAGTGCATCGCACTCGCACCAGGCGAGGCCAGCCGACGGAAAATATCTGGCCCGCTAGCTATCCCATCTCCACGAACGATGGCAGCAGTCGCCCAGGCCGCACCGGTGGTGGCTGCGGCCGCCGCACACACCGTCTACCTTCCCGCCGCGTGCCGGGGCATTTCGCCGCGGGCGGCGAACGGGACGACGACTGGCGCGTTCAGGTGGCGACCCCGCCGGCGCACGCTGGCACGGGCACGGCCGGCGCGGCGCGGGGGCCGAGCCACGGGCCGCCGCCGGGGGCTCGTCGTCGTGGCCGAGTTCGGTGGGACGTACGAGGACGGATTCGAAGACGTGCACAAGGTACATAACATACGGTTCATGCGCCCGCCGCACTCATCACCAACTCAGCTCCGCTCAAACATGTGGCATCGTTGATTTACATTGACTCGTCGTCGTCGAATGCGGCATTGACAAGTTTATCCTGGTGTGGTGTGTGAATTGACTGATGATTTACCTACCGGTCGTGCTTGTTGTGTGTGCAGAACATCATCAACTACTTCACTTACAAGGCCACGCACACGGTCCTCCATCAGCTGTACGAGATGAATCCCCCATCGTACACTTGGCTCTACAGGTGAGCTAGTGGACTGAATTCTTCAATCCCAATTTGTACTTACCTCCTTTGTATGTGCAACTGCTTTTATAAATTATACCATAACACAAATCTTTTGTCAGTTACATTAACGTCAACGATCCATTAGACGGCGATTATTTCCTTCGCTTGCTCGCCAAGGTATATATCTGATTTTCTCCTTCGCTTCTTGTTCTGACGAAACTGACAAAAACACGTGTGTCCCCCTCCAAGCATTGTTCCAGGGTTCATTTGTTTGATCTGTTTCTTGTTCGCGTGTGATAGGAGAGGCAAGACCTGGCGGAGAGAGTGATGGTCACGCGCCTCCACCTATACGGCAAATGGATCAAGGTAGTGACGCAGAGAACGAACTAAAGTTAAGCTGAATCTGAAAAAAAAAAAGAGATATTAGATGGCATAAACAGGGTAATTAACTTACCTTTCTGTTGAAACCCGCGTCTGAGCAGAAATGCGACCACACGATGATGTACGAGCGGATCTCCAAAGAGAACCTGGATATCATGCGCCAAAGGTTGGTCGAGACAGTGGTCTGGCCGACCGATGACACAAACACCGGCGAGTTCTAAGGATTCACGATGAGCAAATGACTGCTTCATCAATAGATAATGTATATTTTCTTCACTGCTTTTGACTCGCCCATTTCTGTATATGGCGGCTCTGCATGGATAGAACAGTTTATGTGTACTACTCTTCTAGGGGTCTCTATAGTGAGCTGGGACCCTTTTTGTCCTTACAATACAACTCGGTGAAACATTGTAAGATGGTGTGTGTGCGTGTGTGCGTGTGTGTGTGTTGGCGGGCTTTAACATGGATGTTGTGTCTTGTGCATAGATTTTGCAATGAAGGTACAAGTTCACCTTGCTTGTCCCCTTTTTTCCTTATTATTAATTCTGATTTTCAGAGATTGTTTTATGGGGCAATGCCCAATGAGATATTGAGATACTGGACAAAGCATATTGAGACATTTGATAAAACAAACCCCATTTGACGGCAGTTACAAAGATCAAGTAGTTGATTTTATTAGTTCTGAATTCTGAACACATCAGATTACGTGTGATCTTATTTGCGCCAGGTTTCCGCACAGGCTGAAGCTTACACGGTATTAATTAAGAAGCGAAACTTTAACTACCTCTCAGGCTGTCACAGTGTCACTGACCTGATCTTTAGGGCCAGGTAATAAATTAGATACAGATACACGGAATGCTGTGTTATCGAACCATATGATAACAAAATACATAGACCCATTTTTTTCTCTCTCGAACACGCAGGAGAGCGTTAGTAGAAGAAAAAAGAGTCATACATAGACCCTAACAGACTCACACACCCCTCCACACCCAGTTTGGTAAGCACAGATGCCAGATGGAAAGGATCCTCTTAGCTCCAGGGATATCACAGATGAAACCAAAGCTGTGTGTGGGACTATTCTTGACCTTCTTGCGTGTTACTATCTGTTTTTGTCTATGCTCTAGGCCGGCAATGGCGATACAAACCAAGCATCTTCAAAATCCTCCCTCTGGAAACTTGCAATTCGTAGTTCAACATCATCCCATTATTTTACATCCACCTCTGGTACAATCAATATAAACTCCAAATTTGAGCTGCTTCTCCTGTGGCTAGCGTACACCTGTCCTTTCAAGGCCTGTGCCCTATTGGACAAGCCACAGTGCGCCAGGACTGATGCACAAAATAACAAGAAGCGTGTGTGAAATGTGAAGTAATCGACAACTGACCAAGTTGAGAGTTCATAGTTATTTACATCAGCAAGCATAGGAAAAGATTTTTCAGCTCCTTGCCTCTCCTTCCTTCCTTCCCTCTCCCTCCAGTTTTCTCACCAGCCATGAGATCAAGAAGCATAACTACTTGCTTTTTAGCTCTCCACTTAATCGTATCTTTCAATATCACCGGTGTCAGTCCTCTGTCCTTCAAGCTGAACTTCACCGAGTCGAACAACAAGGGAGCAGCCACAATCCAGTTGCAGGAGGATGCCTTCTACAACAGGGCGATCAGGCTTACCAAGGAAGAGCTGGATGGCCAGATTGCTCATAGTGTTGGCCGAGCAGCCTTCGCAGATCCGGTGACCCTCTGGGATAGCACCACTGGTCAGTTAGCTGACTTCACAACTCGCTTCACATTCATGATAAAAGCTCGTGTTGCTGATGGCTCGTATGGTGAGGGCCTCGCCTTCTTCCTCTCACCATACCCTTCTGTTGTCCCCAATAATTCCACGGATGGTAATCTCGGCCTCTTCGGTAGTAGTGCTGATCAGAGTGAGACATCCAACCAGATTGTGGCCGTCGAGTTTGACAGCCACAAGAACCCATGGGATCCAGATGACAACCACGTAGGTATCAATATCCATTCCATCGTATCTGTGGATTATGTAACATGGAACAGTAGCATCAAGGATGGCAAGGTAGCCAACGCATGGGTAACTTACCAGGCCAGCTCCAGGAACCTGAGTGTCTTCTTGACGTACAAGGACAGCCCCCGATTCAGTGGCAGCTCCTCCCTATCTTATTCAGTTGATCTCAGAAAATATCTCCCAGAAAAAGTGGCCATCGGCTTCTCAGCTGCCACTGGTCAATTGGTAGAGGCTCATCAGATACTTTACTGGGAATTCCGTTCTACTGATTTGCAGCTGAAGAGTAAGAAGACGAAAAGTGTATTAGTCATAAGCTTGGCTACTAGTATAAGTGGCATAGTATGTTTTATGGGTTTGGTTTGGTGCTTCATGAGTTTTAAAAAGACTAGGAGGACAAGAAAGGAGGAAGAAGAGAAGCTAGAATATGATGAGTCCATTGACGGTGAGTTTGAGAAAGGGAGGGGTCCAAGAAGATTTCAATACAATGAACTTGTGGCTGCTACAAATAATTTTGCTTTGGAGAGAAAACTCGGAGAAGGAGGCTTTGGAGCAGTTTACAAGGGTTTCTTGAAGGATCGAAACCTCAACATCGCCATAAAACGAGTTGCCAAAGGATCAACACAGGGGAAGAAGGAGTACATCTCTGAGGTCAAGATCATCAGTCGGCTGAGGCATAGGAACCTTGTACAACTTGTGGGCTGGTGTCATGAGCATGGGGAGTTCTTGCTCGTGTATGAGTTCATGCCAAACAGGAGCTTGGACGCACACCTATATGACAATTGTAACCTGTTAGCATGGTCATTGCGGTTCAAGATCACCATCGGTGTTGCATCTGCCCTCCTGTACCTCCACGAGGAGTGGGAGCAATGTGTTGTGCACCGTGATGTCAAGCCAAGCAACGTGATGCTTGATTCTTCATTCAATGCTAAGCTTGGGGACTTCGGGCTGGCACGTCTTGTAGACCATGACCGAGGCTCACAGACTACAGTGATAGCTGGCACAATGGGTTACTTGGCTTCAGAGTGCGTCACCACTGGCAAAGCAAGCAAAGAATCTGATGTATACAGCTTTGGTGTTCTTGCATTGGAGGTTGCCTGTGGAAGGAGGCCTATTGTGCTAAAGGAAGATGATGACAAGATCAATCTGGTTCAATGGGTGTGGGATCTCTATGGAAGAAATGAGATCCTTAATGCAGTTGATGGGAGGCTTGATGGTGCATTGGATGAGCGTGAAGCCATGTGCTTGATGATTGTGGGGCTCTGGTGTGCACACCCAGACTACAATTTCCGGCCTTCGATCCGCCAGGTCTTAAGTGTATTGAAGTTTGAGGCACCATTGCCAAGCCTTCCACCCAAGATGCCTGTGGCAATGTATTTTGCACCACCAATCCATCTTTGCAGGTTTTCCTACACCTCGTCTGATGGAACACAGAAGGAGCTGGAGGGGTCCAACATTTATGCGAAGACAACAAGCTCGTCCAGCGCAACCAATGCTTCTAGTTCACCTCCCTCTGTTCACTTATCACAGATGGGTTACTAGGTCTTTCAACTTCCGTTTTATTATATGCTAAATATGTTTAATTGTGTTTTGTGCCGATGGTATTTGAGAGGCACCTAAAGTAACAGCCAAAATACTTTTATTGACTTTATCAGGATGTTTACAACTTGTGTATAGGCTGTCAAGGACATAAGTATTATGTACTCAAATGCTCTTGGCAATGATTATTTTTATGTAAATGCAGTAATCTGGGTGAAGCTATGACATTCATCTACCAACTAGACTTCTGTGCTGGCCGTTCTTATATTGTTTATCAATTAGAAGGTCAAGTTTTCATTTCTTTTCTCTCTTTTCCTTTTTCCTTTGCTTTGGATATGTCAAGCTCTACTATTGTCCTATATCAGGTGAAGGCCAGCTCTGGCATGCCAATTACCTACTGATAGAATAAACACTCACTATCCCTATATCTCTTCTACTTATCATTACTTTTTAAGATGTACCTTTCCAAAGTTTCCCTGTGTGCGATGTTTGATGACTTCCCTCTTTAGAATGGAATGGACACAGCATAACTTAAGGTGTAAGGCATCAGAGACATCGAGTAATAAGATCCAGGGTTTCCCTGTAACTCATGAAGGGAACCTTTCATACAAGAGGATATATCGCACAACGGCTTAGAAGTGGTGTTGGAAAGTCTGAAACTAGCAGTTAATTTATGTTACTTCAGTTAATGGTGAAGCAAATATTTGTTTTGTATTGCACAAGGACCTAGAAGCAGTTTGGCAGTACAAAACTTGAAATTACACCATCCAAACAATAATGTGGGTATAATACTACTCGCACAACAGAACTACAGAAGGAACTAAATTTTAGCTGAATAAACCATTAAAAAATCATTGTTAACAACGGTCACAAGTTTTCAGGCATGATGAGGCACATAGTGATTGATCTCTTCACTGGAGGTCAGTCATCACTTGAAACACACTAGCATTACCAGCAATTTCATCATGTCCGAACTACAAGATAAGCACCCTTGCAAAAGCACATGTGCCAACTACCTAGTAGTTCAATCATATTTTTTTTATCACACATAAGAACTTTTTTAGAGAAAAATGTATCTTACATAAGAATAAGATCCTTCAACAACAAAAAAGCCTTTTTGTCCACAAGTTTGGGTAGGTTAGAGTTGAAACTCAACATGAGCTACCACCAAAAGCGGAAAGAATAAGATTCCTCAAAACTCATGGAATTCGAAAATGTAATATGACACTTACATTGAACTCAATATATAGTAAACCAGAGCAAAAACCTCACTGATACAATCTAAAATCAGTATGCGTCCAACTGCTAACTCAACCCAGTTTTGGTCCAGAGTTGCACAATGTTACATTGTTCACAGGAACTATCTTCTGTTTCCAACATTAGAATCTAGCACGCAACAAACTATTTTCCAGTTTTGGTCCAGACAGCAGCAGTAGCAGCAGCGGTGCAACATGAACACAGGCATAGGCAAGCAAGCAGCCTTTACCTTAAGGTACTTTCTTCACTTCTTGCCGTGCTGCTTCTTGGCGGTGAACCGGTAAACCACCGGCCCGTGGCGCCAACCTTCGAGCGGTGGGTCCTCGTGAACCACCTCAACGTCGAACACCTTCCTCGCTTTGCCGAAGAACTTCTTGTCCGTGCGCTTCCACCGCCTCATGTGCGCCATCACGAACACTACCTCCCCCTTCACGAAGAACCGCAGCGTCTCTATCAAGGGGTCGACCAACGCCTCGTAGTACACCACGTCCGACGCCACGACGAGGTCGAACGGGGACGCCGCCGCCTGCGCCGCGGCCACGTCCGCCATCGCGGCGGTGTCGCCCCAGCGGAGCGGCACGACGGAGGCGGCGCCGCCGGCGGAGGCAATGAGGGGCGCGTTGAGCTCGGCGTTGTGGCGGAGGTTGGGGAGCGCGTCGGGGAGGTCGGAGAGGACGGCGCGCGCCGGGAGCGCCGCGGCCAGGGCGAGCCCCGCGGCGCCGGTGCCGGAGCCGAGCTCGAGGACGCTGAGCGGGCTCCCCGCCGGGGCGCGCGGGCGGGGGAGGAGGCTCCGGGCGGCGGGGAGGACTCGCAGGAGGGTGGAGGCCGAGGGCCAGAGCTGGAACGAGAGGCCCCGCGAGGGGAGCGCGCGGACGGTGATGGGGTCCGGCAGGGAGGGGATTTGGAAGTGGTGGAGCTCCGCGCGCGATGGGGATGAGGGTGCGGCGGTGGAGGGGAGGAGGTTCGGGAGGAGTAGGTCGTCGGAGTCCGAGTCCGAGAAGACGTTAGAGGGGAGTGCGTCGGCGACCATGTCGGCGGCGGTTGCGGCGGCCATAGGACAAGGAGATCTCTCGGACAAGCGAGATGCTCGGGTTTTCTCTCGGACAAGCGAGATGCTCGGGTTTACTAGGTCAACGCCTGCTGGAGAGTGAGTGGGGACACTGGATTCCGTTGCGTATCGTAGTCCGCGGATTAGATACGTTCGGCTTGCTATTTTGACGCAGACAGGCTACTTTTTTGGAAGGCCTTTTGCACCTGGATTTCCTCTCTCGGCAGATGAACGAGGAGGCTACGGGAGAACGGATCCCATATTCACGAGAAAACCGCAGACGTTTATTTACCATGAAACTGGTCGTATATATAGAGAGAGTCCTTGAAGTAGGTCCTTCTTGGGGGATAAGTATGGTATATCAATCCCACGTGTATGCAGACTATGGGGAGGATTCCTCATCTTCCATATTTTTTCTAAGAAAATTGTTATTTACCATCAATCGACGTATTTTTATGTCACAGATGAGTGCCGGTGCGTTGCAACAGGTGCAACATAAATTGAATGAGATGTTTGTTAGCCAAGTCAAAATCAAGAATATATCGATTCAATTTTTCACGTGTATTATACCATGATAATGTCTAGAAACACATTCATGATCGTAATGAATCTGAAATAAAAGTTAGGTTTGATGCTTGTTGTCTGAAAGTTCGACAAATATCAGTTACCTCAAAGGTTGAAAATTTATTACTAGGCATCGAATTGAATTTATCCATGCTCTGTCTTACCCAAAACATATATATTCGGACTTACAATATCCTAGCCCACATGAGGCATGGCAACAATTTATTTTTTGGGAAAAAAAATATTTGTTGTCAACACGCAACACGAAGGACGATGAATGAGATTTGGATCACGATCATGATCATTATGTGGTGATATTCCAATAAATTCATTTCTCTTCTCATAATTCTCTTTTCATTTTATTCTATTTTATTTACTTGCCTTCCAGTGTCTCCATGCGGTGATTATTTGCCTGCGGTGATTTTGTGATTTTTATTCCATTTTATTTACTTGCCTTCCAGTGTCTTCATGCGAGTGTTTTGGTCCTGCCGGGTAGATGTTGACAACCCGTATGTTTTGGTTGTAGAGAAGAGAAGAGATATACTCTTATTTACTCCCTCTATTTCAAATTATTGGTCATTCCAAGAATGTTGGAAAGTCAACGCATCTTAAGATTGATCAAAATTTTAGAGAGAATTAAAAAGACTTATGACATCAAATAGGTATAGTATGAAAATATAATTAATGAAAAATCTAATAATACTTAATTGATATCATAAATGTTATTATCTTCGTTCGGCTGGTCTGAAAGTTTCAGACCAGCCGGCTGGTTCGGCTTGTTCCCCTCACGTGCTACAGTGCATCTTTCAGCCGCTACAGTATTTCTCTCTTACAAAACCAGCCGCTACAGTGTTTTGGCTTCTTTTTTCAGACAAGCGAACGGGGCCATTATCTTATCATATAAATTTGGTCAAACTTGAGATCCTTTGACTCTCCAAGATTCCTGGAATGACTTATAATTTGGGACGGATGGAGTATTAGATTTATGAACCGCTAAATCTAACATCAACATCTTGGTCTCTTGGGTCTCCTTTCAACCTCATCTCTTCCCGTCCTCGACTTGCAGCCTGCGCGTGCGACTCACCCATTGGGACGCAGGTGGCCTAGGCTGGGATAGATTGTTGGTGGGCGGTGGTGCCGACAGCGGCACGAAGGGTGTTAAATCCTTTCTAGATGATGCCTTCAGTGAGGTGAGGAAAGATTTCAAAGATGCTGAAGGACAGTGGCTCCGACAATGTTGGCACCACCAGCATGGAGCGGGGGGTTGAGGGGGCAAAGGAGAACGCTTGTGCATGACTACCTGCGTGATGGTTGCATCGAGTAAGAAGACGATGGGCGAGCAAGGGGACGAAGGAGGTGGGGTGGTGGTTGTGGTAGAAAGGATAGGAGTGGCAGCGGTGGGGGTGGTAGTAGGGTCATTGAAGATGGGCGAGGAGATAAAGTAGGGAGAAGGAGCAGAGAGGACGCGATGTTGGTCACATTTTGTTTTTTGAAGAGAAAGACGAAAAGATAAAATTGGAAGGAGATCCTAGACATTGATGTCATATCTAATAGTTGATAAATCTAATAGATATATAACATATAAATGTATGATAGATATATAGCAACTCTCCTTTTTCTAATAGGAACTGGCCAGGACTCCTCCCAGCGTCTAGTTTTGAAAGGATTCAAAGGAGCATATATGCTCTACTTTTAGAATAACAATGTTTGGGTATAACGTTCAGCTAGGACCGACAACGAGCGAGATAACAAAACTAAAGTGGACAAATAAATAGGAAGATAAATGGCGTGTTTGGTGTTGATTCCACGGACAGGTTTGCCTTTCCTAGCCTAGCCTTGCTGCCATGGGCAAAGAAAAAATCGCCTGGCCGGGTACGCCTATTAGAGAGGAAAATCTTGCCAGCACAGAAATCAAGATAGGCGAGGTCATCAAGAATCCAATACATCATGTCTAGTACGCGTGTAGTGCACTAGTCAGTGCTTTTCTGATTTTTAGGGCATGTTTAGCAAGGCTCCAGAGGAGCCAAAGTTGTTTTGAAGTTAAGGACCTGAACCGCAAAACATGGCTTCTCCTCAAGTGCTTCGGTTCCTCCAGAGAAGCACTTAAGGAGGGCCCTGCCAAATGAGACCTTAGCGACGCGGAGCAATGAAGCATGGGAAGCGAAGTGTTTCTACGACCAAGAGTTTAAGTCCCTAAAAACTTCTTGAGCGCATGTGAATATACCGGGCTGAGGGAGTATTTCTAGAGTGTGAATGTATACCTAAACTATTTAGATTCAAGTCGTGGTCTCGATTTAAATCTCTATTTTTCCTTAATTAAAAGAAAATGTCATCTAATTTCTTCTAGATTGTTGAGTTTTTATTTATTAGTAAATATGCTCATGCATTGCAACGGAACTCAATATATACAGGAATCGGACTTCGTATCATAGCCAGATGCGAGTTATTCTAACTCGTATAAACGCGGTCATACGAGATACATGGGCATGACCTAGTACGTATTGGAACCAGACCTGTATTTATCATGGCTAGATGCGAATTGTTCTAACTTGTATAAGTATAAGTCATGAATCTAGGCCACATATGAGACATGGAGAGTGTGGGAACAGTTTGGAAAGTAAAAGAAGTGGCACAAAAGAAACTCTTCACTAACCGGGTATTTAAGCGGAGGTGGGTGAAAAAATGGATGAAGAAATATTGCCTCTTTAATATTACTAGTAAAACATGCCCGTACGTTGTAACGGGACATACAATTTATCGTACGGTGCTTATATCAATAATAATAGACTAGCTATTTGTTTTGTTGGATTTAGTTGTGCCTTGTCTAACCTGAGATCAAATAATTTCAAGGTTCGTAACAAATATTAGAAAATAAAAAACTAATCATGCATGGGAAATTAGCAGGAGATTGCCTCAACTTGAATATGTGGTTATTGTGTGCACTCTTATCGTAAGTCTAATAAATCTGAAAAGTGAGCTACACATATCTTGCACGTGTGGCAACACGAACAGACTCAGACAGCCAAACCATAAGTGGGTGGTGTCAGCAAAAGTTAGGCCCCATAGCCAAGCGAAACAAGTTGAAGTGAGTGAGGTCTAAGTGAGAAATGAAAGAAAATAAAGAAATATTTACTCTTTAATATTATTTAATATTATATATAGATATAGATGTAAATACATATTTCATATACCTTAAAAATTTTAGGACATTGCAACGTATGCACAATAACAATAAATTTTAATTGAAAATAAGAAAAGTGGTATTGAATTTTTTTTAAAGATGATGGTTTAGACTTAGGCGAGGCTAACAAGCTACAGTGACAAGCACCGGATGAAAACCGGCCAACTTTGTGGTCTAAAAGCCCAGGAATTGAGTGGCTACAAGCCTGAAATTACGGATCATCGGTTGAAGACGTTTTCCTTTCCCCAACTACGACAGAGTCCATAGTCGTAATAAGATCGAGCGATCCGTTATACAAAAGGCAATGACTTACATGAATTTCACAGCAGGGCTCATGCCTTCGTCGTCTCCGATCCTCCCTCCGTGACGACAACAGTACACACCACCCCAAGTCATATAGAAGCGCCTCCATGAGCGCCCTCCTCGCAAAACGTCATTCCAGGAGCACCAGCACCCTAAGTCCGCCAACTCGCCATCATTGGGGATGGCAACAGATCGGGTGAGATGCGGGTGGAGCAAAAACCCGTCCGCGATGAGACCCGCAACAAGCAGTTGCATCCACTCGCGACGAGACCCGTGGGTAAGAAATCACACCCGCACCCATAGGTCGCCCATCGTCGTGTTGGGCGCCCATCAGGTCTGCTACAATAGAACAATGATACATTATTATGAATTATGAATATATATAAATTTGGAAAATAACAATTTAATATACATAAATCTATAAAACCATGCCCTTGAACTTGCAAAAAGAAGATTTGACATCAAATATATAAATTAAATGTTGACGAAATAAAAAACAAGACAGTTTGGTTGTACTTTTATTTAACGTTTTGATAATTACGATTGAACAATTATTCTAAATAAAACCATGTTGCATAGTAGCCAAATCTGCCAAGTCAAAATGTTCATAGTAGAACACAAGTCAAAAGTTCATATTTTACATCAAAACCATTATTACTACCTCCACAGCTTCACGACTTAGACATGCTGTATCACTCCACAAACAAAAAGAAAAAATAAAGAAAACAGATCAGTACCCACAGCTGCAGTTGAAGAGCCGAAGGGGGTGCATGACGCGAATGCCAGTCACTGGCCCTTGGACCTCATGGCCTCACCACACCTGCACAGCCACTGGCGGAGCACGAACTGCCCTCGCGCGGATGGTCACCGGCATGGTCGCGCGGTTCTAGCTGTGGTCGGCTGAGCTACCGGCATCCGGGACTCCGAGTGCGAGGGGCGGAGCTGGTCCCTGCGGGTGGCGACAACTTGTTCGCTGGATGGTTCCAAGGGTCGGAGATTTATTTAGTTTCAAATTGCCCTGCGCGGTGGCGACAAACGATCTCCAGCAATATTTTCCAGGATCGAGAACGATGCGGATGCGAGGGTCGGAGGTACTCCCTGCGCGGTGGCGACAAACGACTCCAGCGCTCCAGGATCGAGGCGCTCCCTACGTACGACGATTCTTCGTCGAGTCCTTCAGTCAAGTAAAAGTAGTACGTGATACTCCCTCCGTCAACAAAATAAATATTATTTTTAATTTTCAGACATTTTATTTGATCGTATGTCTTATTCAATTTTTTTATATAAATATCATATATTTTATTATGACTTATTTTATTATTAAGATATTTTAATAATAATTTATTTATTTTATAATTTACATAAAATTTTTAAATAAAACGAACGATCATATCTGAAAATAAAAAAAAGTTAATTTTTTTTAATGGAGGGAGTACGTGCTAGCTCAAAGCCGTCCGATCAGGTGTCAAGTCCAAGTTGTATTTTGCTTTTCAAACTTCCTTCGTGGCCCTGGACCAATCTAACTACGTGTTCCTGACGGACTCTAGTCCGCACAAGCGCTGCTGACGTTAGTTGATTTTCTGTTGCCCGCTTGTTTTCTTTTAATCATGTATGTATGAACACGATCAGCTGTCAAGCAAAATAAGTGATACGTGATGTACCAGGACCTGGAATCTTCCAAATCCAATACCCAGCCAATAGTCGATCCTTTACTGCTTCACGTGATATTAAGCAATTCGATTTCAATACATTGTTCCAGCACGTCAATCCTACCAAATATTCCATGCCCAAATAATAGGCCGAAGAATATTAATAATATATTCTATATTTGGGTTTTTTTAGGCAAGATTCTTTATTTGGGTTAGGATTCCTATTTAGTTTACTGGGGAATCTATTTGATTAGAATTCCTAAATATCCAGGCCACCTTAAGGACCGGTGTCTATTTTGGAATCAGACTCCGTTTCACGCTAGACAAAAGCTATTCTAATTTGTATGAGCACATGTTATATATATAAGTTCGGACGGAATAAACTCTCCATTGTCCGATAGATAGAGAGAGACGGACAAAAAAAATAAATTACCAAAAAATAGGTTGAAATTTTGACTCTTTATTATTAGGTATAGATTAATATTAGGTATAGATAGATATATCTATGTCTATATCTATATCTATATCTATCTTATAACCTTAAACCACTAGCCATTCTATCTAAACATGCAAGAAGTCCATCTCACCGGTTTACTATCACATGCATTTAATTGTTGTCATTAGTATGTCACGCCATCCACTATTATTAATTTATAATAGTTTATTCCTTCATATAAATATAATTTTATCCTAATTCATTCATAATTTCTAGTGTGTGTATATATATATATATATATATATATATATATATATATATATATATATAGAGAGAGAGAGAGAGAGAGAGAGAGAGAGAGAGAGAGAGAGAGAGAGAGAGAGAGAGAGAGAGAGAGATGGAAGATAACAAATCAAACGGAAACGTTGAAAAAAGAACGATGGGCAGATGAAGCTCAGTCACGGTTGGCTTGGGTACAACCGTATGGGCCTTAGTGAGCCTCAGCCCACTAGTTTCAGCCCACTACGAGCTCATTACGAAGCAGGGAGAGGAAGAAGACCGAGGAAGTCCAACTGCACCGTCTTTTCCCCAAAACCCCACCTCGGTCTTCGCGTCTTCTCCGGCGCCGTCACTGCCGCGGCCCGCGGCATCCATCTTCAGAAGGTTGGATTTGCCTCCACCGCGGGGCGCGGGCTCTTCTCTCCCCTCTGCCTTATATTCTGATTTGCGACTTTTTCCTTTTTTGCCGTCTCAAAGGTCACGAGCACGCGCTTACGCCGCCGCCGCCGCCTCGATTATTTCAGCTTCGGCCATCGTCGTCTTCTTTAGATGCCTCGCCATATGCGTACAACGACGATGGTGTCGACGTGCACTCCGGTCACGGAGGAAGGCAGGCACGTGTTTGAGATCGTCGGCTACAGCAAGCACAGGGGAATGGGCCACGACGCCTTCATTAGGTCCGGCACTTTCTCCGTCGGTGGCCACCACTGGGTCATTCGCTTCCACCCTGATGGGTACCTCTCCAGCTCCGCCAAGGTAGGCAACGGGGCTACTGCAGATTTCATCTCAGTGTACCTTCAGCTCTTGAGCAAGGACGCCAAGGTGCGGGCGTCCTGCGACCTGAGCCTGGTCGTCCAGAACACCGGTTTGTCGACTTCGGTGCACAAGACAGGGCCCAGGATATTCCACCAAGGTCAAATCAGTGCGTTTGCCCCGCAGACAAACGTGTTCATGAAGACGAGCGAGCTCGAGGCGTCAGGGTACCTTCAGAACGATCACCTCACGATCAAATGTGTTGTTACTGTCATGATGGAACCACAGGTAGCTACGACAGAATTCCTGAACAAAATCGACCTCCCGCCACCCAGCATCATAGAGAACCTAGGCAGCTTGTTGGAAACAGAGGAGGGTGCAGATGTCAGATTCAGTGTTGGAGGTGAGACCATTGCAGCACACAGACTTGTGCTTGCTATGCGGTCACCGGTTTTCAAAGCAGAGCTCTATGGGACGATGATGGAGGGGAGGTCACAGCTTGTTACCATCGAAGACATGCAGCCTGCCGTGTTTAGAGCCCTGCTGCATTTTATCTATACTGATTCTTTGCCTGACATGGTTGATCACGAGGGAGATGCTGTCATTGAAATGATCCGCCATTTAATCGTAGCTGCAGACAGGTATGCTGTGGATGGGCTCAAGTTGATATGTCAAAGCATCCTTTGTGAGAAACTTAATGTGATGACCGTGGGAACAACATTGGCTTTGGCTTATCAACATAACTGTGACAGGCTTAAGGATGCTTGCCATGAGTTTCTCACAGCTTCAAATGTGATGGATATAGTGATAGCAACTCCAGGTTATAAGAATCTCAAGACAACTTGCCCTTCTGCGCTAGCAGATGCATTTGAGAAGGCGATGAAACGGCGTAAAACATAAGAAGTTCAAGCTGTATAGGTGTTACTTATTAAATCATATAACAGCTTTTCAGCATCTGCTAGAGCAGCAGCAGCTCATGATAATTTGAACACAGGGATGAGGATCCCAGTGTGATGAGAATCTAAGAATGGTTTAGTTAGTTTGTTGATTTGTTCTAATCAGAGTTAGAAGTGAGAACTATCAAGTATCAACTATCAAGCTATATATTGTTCATTGGGTTCAGATTTTGGATTCTGTCTGCGCACTTAAACAGTACATACAATATTATGATTACAAATAATGCTATGCCACATCACCCAATTGTTGTGATAGACACATCATTCATTACAAAATAGCTTTAAGCATTTAGGCCAGCATACTCGTGTGGTGGGTCATCATCAGACGTTAGAAATATAGCTTTGGCAATTGCTGTTTACTTTCTTAGTCATTATTCCTATCCATTTATATTGTCTGATAGCAGCTATCTAGAACATGTGCACAATCTGGGAGGTTCATGTGGTCTAATATGTGCTCAAATAAAAAAATGTTCTGGAATTTCGCTTTAAGTAACAAATTAAACATATAATAAATTGTAAGAAATTATTATTGCTTCTGATTTTGGTGGTGCTGTTCATAACCAACAGCTGGTTGGATACCCATGATACTCTGTTTATTTAAGTGCAGTACTTAGTTAAAAGTTCCTTTAGGATTGTTCCACATTTGGTTTTATTGCCTTGACTCGAGACCCATGTGAAATCACTGTGTAAAGATTGAGAGCTGTTATACTTCCTCGATTTGACACTATTTCTCTCTTCAGTGCCATCGGATAAGACCATCCTCAACATTTTTTTACCAGTGGCACTATGAGTCTCAATATTTTTCATAAATATGGCATCTTACCTTTGGATCTGTAGAGCATATAATTGCATTGCATAAAATTAATGTTACACAAGCTTTGTTGATGCTGACCGTTGATGAGGATGAATTAACAACTTATCTAAAAAAAGTACCTAAACTAGTGTCTGTGTTGTTGTACACATAACTTGGTAAAAGATTTGTTCTTGAATTCGTATGATTTAAAGAGGGGGAGGGGGCATATAAACACAAGCTGTTCCTGTTTACCCTACCTATTAGTACGTTCCTATGCATTTTTCAATCATTCTAGGATACTGATCATCAGTCCATGAGTTGAGACATGGTTCTGATTAAATTTTGAGCTCGTCTTACTAACAATTTTAATTATTAGAATACAAACTTGATATGATTTGGTTTGTAATTAAATGTACTATCCAATTATTATAAATTTATAAAAACATGAACAATATAATATAAAATAAATAAATAAATAAATTGTCAAAGTACATTTCGAAGGACGTTGTCATGTCAAGATATGCATATGCCCTATAAAAGAGACTGCACCGAATTTTTTTCCGCAAATGGAGGCTATGGCGACAAGCATTGCTAAAAAGGTGGAAAACCGACCAATATCGAACACTTATTTGTTACTTGGTCAAAGGGGGAGGACGGAAACAAAATATTCTTTTATTGACAGGGGCTGCGACCGTGTGCTGGGCTATTTGGCTAACAACAAATGATTGTGTGTTTAACAATTGCTAATCAAAAACATTTTTGCAATGAACAAAATTTGCTACACCTACCACGTTCAAGCCATATAATTCATACTGTTCCATTAGCTCAGGCTCAGTCGCTCAGATCATGCTCTCTGTTTCAGAAATAATAATCTTCCATTTTGAGGAACCAAAAGGCTTTTCTACTTGGTCTCCTGGTATTTTCTCCAGCTTCAACTTTCCGTGTGGCTTTTGCTTGAACCATCTTCTAGGCTTGATCGGTATGTTGAAGTGCTACATCAGTGTGGGTCAAGGCTAATGCCTCTTCCTCTTCTTGCTGCTCTTCAAGTGCTTCTTTCGGTTTCCGCTCTTGCCATGCGACTTGCTTGAACCGCCATCATCTTCCTTGTCACCGCGCCGATTAGCATGTTCATCCCAAGGTCGAAACCATTTGTTAAGCCTCCTAGCCTGTTGCCAGAATCAGATATCAGTTGGGGGTGTAATTTGGATGCTAAGACAAGCTGAAAATCCCAGGGCAAACCGAGCGCTGAATAATACGTGTAGCTGACCAAAGTCAATTGTGTATTTACACAGGAAATAAGCAGCAGCAAAAGATCAACCATCTGAACATACCCATGAAGTTGCCTCCTTATGCGCTTCTCCATCTGCTTATCACGTTTGGTTACAGGAGCTCGAGTGAACAACTCCTCTTCCTGCTTCTCTTGCTCCTCTCTCTGTCGCATATACCTCCCAAATTCCCTGCTTTCATCGCCCACTGTTTCCTTCCACTGTAAATTCCAGAAATATTATTTAGCATGATAATAAACAGCACATAGTTTACTCTGTATCCAAGACAGCCTGCTAATAAATTCAGAGCAAAAGTTAAGCAAACCTCTTCAGGTCTGTCCGCAGCATCATCGATCATTTCTTTAATATAAGGATTTTCTATTGCCACTTGGGCTATTGCTTTATCTCTCCTTGAATCTTTTTTACGACACTTCTCTTCATCATCCACACTAGTAGGCATAAATTTCGGCGGACGGTAAACACCATCAGTATCCTGAAACAAAGTGGTTATACTTATACATCAGAACAGCAGAAGGTATAGACTGATATGCCACATGAACTGAGAAACAAACCTCACTGCTAGAGCAAATGGTGAGTTTGAATGATAGGTATTAATGACAATTTTTGCATTTAGCACTTACACAGAATATGCAAAATATAAAAAGAACAAAAAACTATTTTAAATGGGACAAATGCACATTTCAAACACGATGCTAAAAGTGGATTCCTAAAGGGACAGGAAGAATTAATGTCAGTATCAGATTCAGCACTATAGGGATGCCAACTAAAATTCTTGAGATGAGAAGGGATGTTGATTTATTATTGCCAATGACAATTATATTACAAAGGACATGCTGTAGTAGCCGGAAAGGTGGGAAAATCTGTTCATGTGAATGGCATTGCACTTATTGAAATTTGGGCTAAACCAACTGCTATGTTCCAATATTGTAGGTGCAGACAAGTTATTAATTAATAAGGTCCTTTCACAAAGTAATGTTCGTGTAGGAGGTTCAAGCATGCACAAAAGGAAGCATCTGGCATCCCTTTTAGCAATGTAACAAGTGCATAGAATCAGTAAGGAAGTGAAAAGCATCACCTGCCCATCAGGACCAGGCTTTGTGTCCATCATATCTGGGTTTGGCCTAAGTTTCAGGAGGTCTTCCTCATCGGAATGCTCATCCTTCCCCTTCGCCTCTGCATTTCCTGTCTTCTCTCGAGCAGTTGCATTGTCAGCAGCATTGGTGAGTTTCTGGATTTGGTACTCGGCCTTCTTGTCAATCGGACGAATCTACCGCACCAAATTCAACAGAAAACCATCACTTAGTTAAGCAGCTACATCAAGGCTGGAAAATGAACAATCAGCATCGAAAGCACAAGCAAACCTTCTCCAGAAACAGCCTGATCTCGACAAAGCTCCGTACGACGGGGTGGCCATCCACCGAGAGCCCCTTGGCCTTGCGGAGCAGGTAGTAAACGATGTCCTGGCAGTAGCCAAGAAGCAGGTGGTTCTTCACCTCTAGGTACCCGATCCCGTTGGCCGTCGGCAACAGGTTCTCCTTGATCTATACAAACGCGAGGATAGCGAACCAGAATTCATTCTCCCATCGTATACCCAATTCCCAGTTAAAGAAATTGGGAGAGGGGACGAAAGCTTGGAAGGGGAAGACATGAGTAGATTACCTTCCGGGTGATGGCCTCGACCTTGCCCCTTACGAGATCCAATCCATCCTTCATCTCCTTGAGAGCGGCGAGCAGCCCCGGCGCGTCGTCGCTGCAAGCAACAAAAGCTCAGGTCAAATTTGCTTTAGTAGCTAACCCCGGGGAGAAACATCTAGAGGCTGAGCTTACCGTACGAGGAATTCATCTTTCCTCTCGCCGTTGGCTTCGGCGGTGGTGGCGGATGCTGCCACCATGGTGGCCAGTGGCGGACCCAGGATTTGAAACAATGGTAGTCCTAGTCAAAATATTGATGTGCAATACGATTAAAAAAAAAGTTTGGTATACATGACTATAAATTAACCAAATTACGATAATGCATTTAAAAGGTTCGAAACTTACAAAAATAGGCCTAAAAAGAATGAGAACCCATCCAGTTTGAGAATAAGTCGCTTAGTTATAAGTTATACTATAGATTGAATTTTCAATTGTTGACGGGAATAGAGACAAAACACTGAAAGATATGCTTAGCATTTTTTTGCCACAGATCTAGATTCTAGAAACAAATTTAGTTACAATGTGAAAGATTTCTTACTGCAGCCTAAAATAAGAGTGGTACTATCTTACTTGCTCCTCACCTGTATGGCAAAAGAGAAAGCAAAAAGGCATCACAATGCATATTGATAGTACTGAACTACGGTGATACAAATCATTAAGGAACAAGCTCAGATGAATGAAAGCCCTAAATGGAGCATACATATAGAACCAACATTGTTGATTTTTAGGCTGAACCTATTGCTAAGGTATGTTATTCATGACAGGCAATATAGTTATTGGACCATCATATCAGGGTTCCAAAAGGCGGCACTAAGCGCACGCTTCAGCGCTAAGCGGAAGGGTAGCGCTTCGCTATGGGGCATAAGCGCTCCCAAAGCGGCGCGACCGCCTTGGTGGAGCAGCGGCTGCTGGCTCCCGCTTCCCGCCGGCCGCGCGCGGCGCGCGGCGCAGCCGCAGGGGCCGGGCGCCGTCGACGGTCCAGCGGAGGCGGGAGGGGAGAAGGAGGTGCGTACGCAGGGTCGCCGGCCGGTGTGCGGAGGACGGAGGCGAGGGCGAGAGGCGGGAGGGGGAGCCGCTGACGCCGCCACCGATCCTGGGACTGCCCCGCCGTCGCTGAGAGCACGAGCCTCCGTCGCCTCAGTGTGAGTCGTATGGCTTTTTCTTGTACGTTGGTTGCCATTTGTTCAAGTCGGGCCGTGTTCCTCTGTGTCCCACTGAAGTGGCAAGTGGCAATGCGGAAACTAAGGCCCATAGTCATAATAACGGGCCCTTAAACAGGTACGGGGAGGCCCCAAATCCCCCCTATAAGTAAAAAGTCCATTTTACCTCGCTGAATTATTCTGAAGTCTAGTTTTCCTCCTGAACTCCAAAACCGGGTAAACCATCTCCCTCAACTTTTAAAACCGTTCATTTTATCTCCATGGCCTGGTTATAGGTGGTTTTCAAATGCGGTTTTGTCTTTTTCTTTTTTATTTATTTCGGCTGAATTTTTAAAAAATCATAGTAAATCACATAAAATTCATAAAATGGAAAATACAATTTTCTTGGACTCCACATGAGTAGACACAGTGAATATATAATATAGTATGATTTAGTACAAAGTTTTTGATGTAGCTTTAGATTTATGATTTTATGTAATTAATTCAAACCTTGAGTTTTATGGTCCAATTATGGTGAAATTTTTATGGTGTGCTAATTATTATATGATCGAACTGTAGTAAAAATTTCACGCTCATTGGATCATGTATAACTGAGTTATAGATTTATTTAGTTTTATGATTGTTAAATAGTTTTAAAATAGTTAAAAGTGTGTAAAAATATAAACGAGTATGAAATTTTTACTACAGTTAAAGCATATAATAATTAGACCACCATAAAAATTTCATCACAATTGGACCATAGAAACTGCAGCTATGAATTAATTATAGAAAAGTATAGATCTAAAACTATAGTAAAAACTTTGTACTAAAGCATATCATAATATATGTTTACTGTGTAGATCTACTCATGTGGAGTTCAACAAAATTAGATTTTCTATTTTATGATTTTTCTGTGACTTACTATGATTTTTCAAATATTCAGCCAAAATAAAGAAAAAGACAAAACCGTCTTTGAAAATCACCTATAACAGAGTCAGGGAGGTAAAATGAACGGTATTAAAAGTTGAGGGAGGTAGTTTACCCAATTTTCGAGTTCAGGGAGAAAAACTAAACTTCGAAGATAGTTTAGGGATATAAAATGGATTTTTCCCCATATAAAGCTAATCAAGAATACTAATTAGGTTTTTTAAATTGAAACTAATAAATTGGAAGAGCCCAATTATTTTGGTGAATTATTGATACATGCAGCTTGAAAGACCTGTGAACTGTAGTATTTGGCGCTAGTGGTAAAAGAGTCATTTCGCATATAGCTTAACACCGTTAGCCCATCAGACTAACGGAATGGCCAAGAAACCAAAGGAAATTCGTTTTAGGGCCAAATAAGCAAGTTTGAGGGAAAAAAAGGACCAAGAAACTAAGCAACAATTTTTGTGAGGCCAAGGAAATAATTTCCTCGAAAATTTATGAAAGCACCACGCATCAGGGAAAAGACGTCAGCCGTAGGCAATGAGGTTAGCTCAAATCGATTGGCGCTCACGTTTATTTAGACGAAAAGGGTTAGAGACCTACTGCAAAGCAGTTACGTACAGTGGCAGTGCTCTACTATGCGGCATTGTATATGCCATGGATTAATCAAGTCAATTTCCAAAGCTTTTCCTCATTTAGTTGTTGTCAATGAATTGTACTACTCAATATGATATGATAATCTGAAGAAAACAGAAGTCATATTGTTAGCCTTTCATTTCCAAACCATCTGGCCGGTCCAAGCATTCCACGTGGACAGATCAGTGAATTGGTTGGATTAACTGACCATGTAGTACTATCCCCAACTTAAACACGCCATCCTAGCCGACTAAGCCAATTCGGTAAAGTTTGTTCCACCGGTCACCGAGAGCTTAGCCCAAGTGGCTCTCACCCGCTAAGCATCTCCAGCAGACTATCTAGATATATGCCATATACTCTAAATTTATCCATGTTCGTTTCGCTAAAATTTGGCTTATACTGAAATGTTGTGAGAGGAAAACATTATTCGTTCGCTGAAAAGTATTGCTGAAATAGTGCTGCAGAACAGGGCCATATGTAGAGAGAGAGAGAAAAGCAATTGGATCCTAAATAGCTCGTCTACTCTAAAGTGGTCCGGTTCGATCGTAGTCGTGCCAGGCCGTCCGCCATCGTCCCGCATTCAGTCCGAACTAGATCTAGACTACCGCCGACCTCTCCTACCTGTTCCATGCCTCCTCCGCCTCCAAGCTCACAAGGGCACGAGTCAAGGGGAAGGACTCCAGGTGTCGGTCGTTTTCTGGTTAGGGCCGCTCCTCACCATTGTGTTGGAGACTGGATTTGGTTGCCCTTGTGCTCATCTCATCAAGCCTCCTTCATCTCGGCCACTCAACACCCTTGTCCAACCCTCCTGTGTCGGGCTCCCTCGCCGGTCAGCTCTCTCCTCCACCGGGCCTCCACATCCCAGTCGTGCTTTCCTCCTCTGTCGGGCCTTCATTCCTTGGTTAGCCCCCCTCCTTTGTCGGCCCTCCACGTCTCGGCCCTCAGTTGAGCTCCTCTCCTTCGATCGGGCCGATCTCACCCCAATCGAAGCACAATCTTGCACAAACTCTAGCCGTGGCACGCACCAAATTGCCTCTGGTCGAGCACACACAAACAATGTTTGTCTATTTCATCCAAACTTTCTTCCATGCACATGATCAGTATAATTTTTTTGTGTTTTTAAGATTGAAATTAGTAGCTGATGAATATTGTGATCTATTCTCATTTTTTTCTTTGTGATGATTGTTATTATCATGTCAATTGATCTCTTGTTTCACACTCCCATTAGAGTTTTCCATCCACGAAACAACCAAACCTTGTTTGCAATGATGGCGTGGACTATATGATGGGACTTTCTATTTGTGTTTGGACTATGTGATTTAGATTTTGAATCGTGGTGTTAGAATTATTTCCTTTATTGTGCAAATCTATGCATTTAATATATTTATGGTTGCATTTGTGAAGCTGAAATGAAGAAAATAGAGGGTCAAACATGCTAAAAATTAGGAAGAGGAAAATAATGAAATTTATAGGTAGTACGGCTAGAGATGAAGAGCAGGAACCAAACTAAAAGGGATTAGGAGGAGTTGTACTCTAATACGTAAAATAGGTAGAGGGCCTATTTTGTATAGACAGCTGAAGATGCTCTAAACATACAATATGTACGTGGCACCCTAAAAGCACGACAGCAAAAAAATAAAAAAAGGTACCAGCTGCGCTTTCTTTTCTGTGTAAAAACTAAAAACTAGTTACTCCATCCGCTCTCACCTACGTCACTTGACGAAAAAAAAAACATCATCGATCTTTGTCCCGGCACATGCACAGGCATCGACCAATCAGAGCTGGATGCACCCCCCGTATCTCCTGCGACTAATCAACTCATCACTGTTCCGGGAAAACTTGAACGTGCCGTCCTCCCGATTTGTTTTGTATATTCACCTGGCCTGACGTGTGTACCCAGAGAGGCCGCCCAGAGGTTGGTTTCCTTGCTTGCTTGCTCCTGACTGAACCGACGTAACATTAGTTGCCATCATCCGCAGCTGTAAAACAGCTAGCTTAAGCTTATCCTCCCACCAAAACACGCGTTGATGCCCGAGCGCGACCACGTCGTACTAGCCGCGAGCGAACAAGACAGCAGAGCGCGCGCGGCCGGCCGGTTGGCCCCCGACTAGAGACTTCACTTTCCTCACCCGGAGGCCGGGGCCCACCGCCCCCGGTACGTCCAGCCGGCCGCATGCGCCGAGCGCGCGCGCGAGCCGTGAGCCGGGGCCCTGACGCGACTCCCCGCCAGCCGCGGGCGATCGGAAAGGATCCATGCATCCAGCGGCTTTGCGGCCGGGGCGGGGCGAGGTGCATGCACCGCCCCCCCCCCCCCCGCGCGCGGGCCGGCGGAGGACGACCGAAGCTTCGCTCGTCGTCCCGCGGGTTGGCGCGCGTTTGGTGCCGTCCGGGGGCGGGGGCGGGGGCGGTCGCCGGGCTGCCGCTTTCGCGGTCGCTGTCGCTGCCCCGGCCGGTCCCCTTGGGCTGGATTGGATAAATTTGCCGATCCGGCGACCGCC